TAAACCTAAGCTAGTAATAGCGTAATAAGATAAAGCAAGCGTAAATAACAAGCATAAGCCGTCGTACTCTCACACATGTGGAGAGGTGCATGGGCTTGTTCAAAAACCGATGGCGTCTCTTTGCAGGCCGCCACGAGGGGTGGTTGTGGCGGGTGATTGCTGGGGTGGGCTGTGCTGTCGTGCTTCATAATATGATCGAGTGTGAAGATCAGTGCAGAAAAGCGTCGCGAGGCTGGTGGCACAGAGAAGCCGTGCGGACTAGGAACCGTTGGTGGGAGCGGGGATATATTAGACGGTAGAGGCGACCAACCCCTTGCAACCACCCGTGACGCGTTTGCGACCCGTCACCAAGATTTTGGTGAGGGGAATCACCAAGCGAGGCTTATGCATCACAAGGGGGTTGGCTTAAATTCGGAGTAGCGGGGAAGTATAAATTTCCCTGGCTGTCCATTATGACTATTTGCATTGTAGGTGGGGCTGAAGCATGGAAAAAAGGGGGTATGGCATTTTGCATGAGGATGGGGTGAGTGATGGGGGATGGCTGGTTGTACCAATATGCCACGCCGGCTAGATGGAGGTGCGAATTGGTGCCATGAACCGATGCTGTTGATGCAGGGAGAGGACCAATGGCGCCAGGGGCATTGTAACCCATCCCTGGCGGTGGCGCAAAGCGTTCGAGCACTTTAATAAGACGCTCCACATTAGCATGCTGCCTCTCCGTACGATCGTGTACCAAGCGAGATATGTGCTCGTTGATAGTGGGCGTCTCGTGTCTCCCCGAGGTCCCGAAACACGTATCGCGATAGATGGTCATCTTGGCGCACTTGGACGCTGTGAAATGTGTGAGGTGGTCATAGTAGTTCCATTTTGTAGGGATCATGTTGGTGATTTGTATGGCATAATAAATGGTGTTAACATTGGTATTGTCGAAACAATCAATAAGATGTACCTGTTCGGTCAGTGCGTGCAAATTGAGAGGACGAATTGTTTGACGGTGTTGCATTCACTGTCTGAGCGCCACCCTCGTCAATGATGTGTGGGTCCGGTTCCTGATCGGAATCGAAGTAGTTGTAGACATAATAGTACCAGTCCTTTTTGGGCACGGGGTTGTTCTTGGATTTCTTATCAGCTTCCTTAACGTCATTCATCCGTGCCTTCAGTCAGAGCCACTGCTTCTCTAATGCCTTTGCGGGATGCCTCCAGTTGGTATTTTGATGCTGCGGTAACAACCCAATCTTTTTCCCGTGTTGGGAACCTTGCCTCCCCTTGAGCTTCTCAAAGTCTTCTTTATGCGACCACATAGCTGCAGCGAAGTCCGTGAGCTCCAATGGATCCCAAGTCTGTTTCTCGTGCCAGCGCCCTCAACCTTGCGCTTCCCTTTGTTTGGCATTGAGACGTTAGGATCTCCCGTGTCAACCTTGTTGGCTTCCTCTGGCTGTGGGGTGTAGATAGCGCTGTAACCGTCGCTGTCGCCAAAAGATTCAGCGTCCGTCGTAGATGTTTCTCCTCCGGTGGAAGGAGCAGAATTTCCAGAAGGACCTGAGGCACTTTTGGAGCGTTGTGAGGATGAGTCATTTTACATGCCTATTAAAACAAATGCGCTTCACACCAAGTGCTTCCTGCTCACGCAACCATGCAACATACGGAGTGACAAACTGCGCCTCCCCATTGGAAGGGGTATCACCAACACCATTGTCACCCTGGCGACGAGAAGAGAAGGACATTTTTCTTGAGTCGGTGGAAAGAACCTACGCAATTGAAAGATAGGAATGAAGTTGACGGATGTAAGCCCAGTACTTGTGTTTTGTTTGGGGCCCTTCAACATTTCGGATGGCGGTGACAGCATGGGTTGTTCGAGTCGACAAGAATCGGTTGGAATTCGAGCCGCTCCCAAATTTCCAAAAATTGGAATCTGCGGCGGGACGATTCGATTAATTGTTGGACGTTTCCCTCCATCCGCTTTTTATTTCTTGTCGTCTAATGAACAACGGATTTCGTCAGGTTATGGTCGCATGGCCGTTAGATCCGAATGCATGTTATTGGTTGCAAGTTTGCATCATTGGCCGTGCGATCATCGTCAGGCCAGTCGCTTGGCACGTGGGGTGGGTGTGGCTGGGAGGGGCTAATGCCAGACTGTACACGAAAATCTTCACTTTTGGGGGGCTTGAGGCTACTTCGCTTGGGGGAACTTGCTGTGAACGCCATCTTAAAGAGACTGCGACGAGAGTTGTGATGCGGAGTGCGAGGTGGGGTGTGTAGGAGGGTGCGGGGCACATTGTGCAGGAAGAGCGTGGGGATGGAGGCGGCACCAAAGGAGGCTGCCAGAGCCTCTCTAGTCAACCTGGCATGCGCATACACCAGCCGCTTCCTGACATGCCCCATCATGCCATGCCATACGCCATAACCATAGAATGCGCAATGCATAAGACGAAACAGGGGTGGAATAGTATGGAGAAGGTAAGTGATGTCACATGAGTTGGACGGAAAGTGTGCAGGGAGGTGAAAGGAGGTGGGAATAAGGTAGAATTGAGGTGGACCGGAGGTGGAAGAGAGGCGGAAGGGAAGGTAAAAGAGAGGTGGAAGGGAGGTGGAAGAGAGGTGGAAGGGAGGTGGATGGGAGGTGGGAAGGAGGGTGGAAGGGAGGAGGAAGGTGATGTGCAAGGACAATTATACTACTAGAGGAAAGGGCGACAACAGAGAAGGAGCATAGTTGCAGGGCTTTGAAGGGAAGGTGGGGAGGGAGGTTGGAAGAGCACCTGCATTGCAGCGAGAGGGACTTGACGAGCGGTGTGACAGCAGGCTTAGTGGAGAAGAGAACCACCTGGCCTCCCATGTTGGCCCCCAGGTCGTGCGGTAGAGTTGTGTGGTGAGCGTACATACATGCCATGGCGGTCAGGTGTGGCAGGGAATAGTCGGAGAGTGCAGCGATTGGGGTAGAGTGAGGGAATTGGGAAGAGTGGGGAATTAGCAAATTCGCATATGACTGGAGGACAGAGATGGGCTGAGTGGGGAGAAGGACGGATGAATGGGTACAGCAATGACTGCAGTGACAATGCATGAGATTCTGGTGGTGAGGGAGGGAGAGAGGTATGAGTGTGAAAGGGAAGAGAGGCGAAGATCTTGTGTTAAGCATACCTGCTGCTCGGTGTGCGCCCGCCATCCACTCGCCAGCCTGCTGCTCACCCGCCCGCCCGCTACTCACCCACCCTGCTGCTGGGGAGGGGGGAGGGGTGAAAGGGGGACGGGAGGGGGAAAGAAGGGGGAGAGGAGGTGAGGAGGTGAGTGGGAGAGAGGGAAGGCGGAGGGTAGAAGAGAGGAGGGCGGGCGTGAGGTTGAGGGTTCATTTTCTTAATGGCTTAGTTGTTTGTTGGTTGTTATTTCTGTGTTTAGTGTGGGTACAACACACCTCATCCGTGCGTCATGCCTACTCCCGAGCGGCGCTGCTGCGAAAGAGCCCGCGCGTTGTAGCGACCGACCAACCAACCACGCCCGTCACAGCTTGCAAGATTATACGCACATGTGGCAATGGGCGCGCCATCAGGGCTGCAGAGAGCAGAGAGCTCCCTGCTGCTGTGGACTATGAGCTGCCCACCATCGCTACACGTGCGTATTACAAGTGCATGTGCCGCCAGATCGCCACTCGCCTGGGTGGGGAGGAGAGGCGAGAGGGGGGGAGTGGAGGGAGGAGGAGGGAAAGGGGGGAAGGAAAGACGGAATGTTAGTTATACCCTCATATGCGGGGCTGGGCCAGGGCTCGACCGGGGACGGCGAGGACCACGGCACGAGAACGACATCAGTGAATGATGGAGAGGTAGAGGGGTGAGAGGCGAGGAAGGAGAAGCGTGATTAAGCCGCCCGTGCCCCCCTTCCTGTCCTTGTCGTACGGGCCCAGCTTTGCCTTGCCCTTATTTGATGCACTAATAGTGAATTTCTGAGATTTCACTGCATAATCACCTTGGCTGGCGTGATCAAGCCACCCATGCCCTCCTTCCTGTCCTTGTCGTACGGGCCCATGTTCACCTTGCCCTTACTCGCTGCACTCCCACTGCCCAGCACCCGCCCCTCCAGTTGCGACAGCCGCTGCTCAATATGTTTCAAGACACACACAGCAAAACACAAAAGGAAAGTGGGGGGGATAAAGAAAACGAAACGGAAAGGAGTCAGAGCAGTACTAGGGGGCAGAGGTATAAGTAGGTCGCATAGTAAGCAGAGTGCATAAATTTGATATGAGTAAATGTAGGCACATGAACTTCACTCCCCTCACATCACAACCCCAACCCCCTTCCATGTACCTTAGCACGGCCTTCAATGCCGACAATTTGCTCAGTGGCATCACCAAGGGCGTCAACGTGAATGGTAAGGGAGCACTTAGCAGCAAAAAGATGATCATACCATATCATTTCTCAAATTCCTCTCAGGAGCAGGGCTATACGGATGCCAAACTCATGGAGGAGTGGATGAACAAGCTTCTACTGCTGTTCATCAAGCGTACTCATGGCATCCGTCGCTCCAAGTCCCTTTTAGTAATGGACTTTTACTAGAGACACCTCACTGATGGCGTGCTCGCGAACGTGAGGTGCAACCGGGTGATCTTTGCTATCATCCCGGGGAGGTGCACGCTACTTCTGCAGCCGCTTGATGTGAAGGTAAACTGCTCATTCAATGCAGTGCTACGATAGCTCTACAATGAATGACTTGCCAAATTCGGCGTCAACACCTTTACAAAAGCAGGTGCGTGAGTGACACATGTTTCTGTCGCTTTATCGCTTATGTACCGTACCTGTCCGTGCCTTAGAACGTTTTGTCCACTCCCCCCTATTCATTCCTGGAAATCCGTGCACCTCACAGGGAACTTGTAGAAGCCCCCTGCGGAGCTAGCCCTCAAGTGGATTGTAGCTGCTTGGGTGGCCGTCCCGGAGCACGTCATAGAGAAAACCTTCCTCACCGCCGTCATAAGCAACGCTGTGGATGAGAGGCAGGACCACCTCATCCTGGCCCACATGCACGATGCAGGCCAGGTTGAGGTGGGTGATGACGTTCACTCCGCCCCTGAGGTGGAGGAGTGGGTCAACCCCCTGTTCACCACAACCGCTGAGGACGAGGACGAGGATGATGAGGAGCAGGAGCAGGAGCAGGAGCAGGAGGAGGAGGAGGAGGAGGAGGAGGAGGAGGAGGAGGAGGAGGAGGAGGAGGAGGAGGAGGAGGAGAGGGAGGAGGAGGAGGAGGAGGAGGAGGAGGAGGAGGAGGAGGAGGAGGAGGAGGAGGAGGAGGAGGAGGAGGAGGAGGAGGGGGAGGAGGAGGGGGGGGGGGGGGGAGGGCTTACTGCTGCAAAGCATGTGAGCTTGCTGCATGCGGTACACTAGAGCAAACGCTTTTGGTGCGTATCAGAAGCACTTGTGAAACACATTTATGGTGCGAAAGGCATGGTGCGTTGATCAGCCACAGGGGGTGGTGTGGAGGAGGACGGGGATGAGGAGTGAGAAGGGGAATGGGGGAGATGTACCCACAGAGAGCGCATTGCATGTGTAGGATTGCTTAATATTAAGGTCGCGTGTGATATCTTTTCAAAATTCCCAAAGTTCGAACTTTTAGAAAGGTTCTACACGGTAGGACACAAATGAGAGATTTTTTGCCTCGGTGCAAAGCGGTTTGAGTTTCAACTTGACAATTTTCCAAAGATCACACGTGCCCTAACCTCCCTTGTACTACTGCATCTTCAGCTTGTATAGTTTCATGTCGTGCCTGAAAGAATGAGGGGGGGGGAAAGGGAGAAGGGGGAGGGGGGATGTCTATAATGATACGGTAATGGGCAAAGGGGGGGTCCTCACAGAACTTGACAAAATACGGTAAGATTCCCACTTCCGCGCGAGAGTGTTGGGGGACCCTTTTTCCCAGTTGGTGCTGTAGCCGGCATAATGCGGTACGGTACTTCTGAGAAGATTTGTTGGAAACAGTAAATTTTAAGCGCTTCTATCGTGTCGAAACACCGCACCAGAAGTGAAGCAAACCATATCGAAGCACCCGCGAGTCAACCCTCGGAGGTTGAGAGGTTGCTGGAGGTTACGCGAAAGTCAAAGGTCAAGCGACCTTTGACCTGACAAGTGCAGCGCGACAGTTAAGGACACACAACTGACTCGTTACAGAGCAGTTGCCCGAGTCGTACTGTATCGAACCGCAACAGCAAATTAGTTCAAACCGTACCTTTTCGCATTCCTTGTACTATTATATATTCTTGTATCCCTTTGCTATAATCAATCTACTTTGCCCTCACATACCAGCGCAAGGTGGTTCACAACCTTTTCATTAAAGCTTCCGCTGTTACAACTATTCCTACCCAGAGTTCTTCCTAACAAAGAACCTAAGGGCTTTTCTCAGCCCAACATGGTATGAGAGCTCACAAGGAAAACTCTACCACTATCAAGTCATCAAAAGCATTACAAGACATGGCAACACTGAAGGAAAGGAGTGTTATAGTCACAGTAGGCTCCAATAGGCTTCAATGTGCCTAGAACCAAAGATAGAGTGCGCAAACAGATTTCTGCACAGCGACTTCAAACGTTCATAGCGATCTGTTCACAACTCTAAAAGACTTTAGTCAACTTGGATATGGAGCGTCTTAACGTCGTCTACAATAGTCAATTTAGATCGCACGATTTCATCAAGAATTGACGACACAGCGTCAGTTTGAACGAACGGCACTATGGCAGCAACATAGTCTTAGGAACACAATTACGAACAACTAGGAAGAGTTGCGAGTTGGGAAGGACTCCCAGCTCCTACAAACCCCAAGAACCGAGCTACAGTGATGGGGAACAGTGCCACACTGTCCCCAACCAAGAAGGGTCTCGAAACTACCCTTCACAAGGGCCTACACCAACTGAAATGTTACACTACACTTTGTAATGTAACTATCTTCAATATCTTGAGGTGTAGCCTTTTGGCGAGCTTCGAAAACACTTGAAGCTTGAACCAAGGCTCGGGTTCTTCATCACAAAACTCATCCTTGAGTTCTTGATGGGTCTGCTGCACACACCTGCGACACGCCGAACGTTCGACAAGCGACAAAAATAGAAACCGCGCACGACAAAATAGAAACTGCGCGGGACACACAAAATGACCGCGTTACACGCGACTAGCGATAACTCGCTATTGACTTGACACACACACTCGACATCATGACCCATTATTCACACACCATTATAAGCATGAAATATATATTTATTTCATGCACTCATACCACTCCATGCACACACGCATGCACGCACACGCACACGGACAACAAGCCGAGTGCAAACCGTAGGTTGCACCAACAAACTCCCCCTCGGGTTGTTGGCCTTAGGATCTTGCTCTCTCAGTTCAGAGCCATCCCAGCCAGCTTGCAACACTTCCAATGCTGCTGCTCCACCAGCCTCTTAGTCATCATGTCTGCCGGCTGCCCCGTCGTCTTCACGTAGCGCAACTCGACTTCACCCGCTTCCACCATGCTCCTCGTCCAATGCCACTTCACCCTCATGTGCTTGGTCAGACCATGTAACACAGGGTTCTTGGCTAGAGCTATGGCTCCCTGGCTGTCACAATAGAGAGGGGTTGGTCCTTGCTGCTCCTCCCCCAATTCAGCCAACAAACGCCGCTGCCACACAATCTCCCGTACGGCACGGAAGAGTGCCATGTACTCGGACTCCACCGAGCTCAAAGCTTGGTCAACCTGCTTCTTGCTCTCCCAAGCAGTTGGGCCTCCACCAACACAGCATATGAACCCTCCAACACTTGTCATGTCCTCTGGTTCTGATGCATAGGAGGCATCCGAGAATGCGGTGAGGAACAAACGCCCGGGTTCCACACCATCCGCGCCCTTTTGGCGCCTTTGCGCCGCTGCCGAGTATTGCAGCCCAACAGTCGGTGTTTGGCCAAGGTACTTGGCCACCCTCATTCCAGCTGCTACCTGCTCCTCATTAGGGCATTGCACAACCCTTGCCAGCTGCCCGGTAGCAAACGCGACGTCCGGTCGTGTGTTGACCGCCGCATACATGAGGCTGCCCACCAATGAGTGAAAACGGCGCCTCTCTTCTTCACCCACGCTCTCCTCCTCTGGTCCCTTCACACACTTGAACCCAGAGGGAAAGGGTGTAGCCACATGGCCTTCATTCTGCCCAAAGTTGGCAGCCAATGCCTCCAGGTACTTCCGTTGGTGCACCCGCATGCACCGCTTCTCTAGGTCTCGTTCGATGTGGAGCCCAAGGTAGAAATTCACGTCCCCAAGGGACTTGCACTTGAATTTGTCTTGCAGCTTCAGCATCACCTCCTTCACAAGGTCAGAGGAGGGTGAGAAGATCAGGATGTCGTCCACGTACACCACCATGAAGCTCCTCTGCTCCCCCTCGCCAAGCATGAACAAGGAGTGATCGGCCGTTGAGGGAGTGAAGCCGATCTCCTCCAACACCTCGCGCAGCTTCAGGTACCACTGCCTAGGGGCCTGCTTCAGCCCATAGAGGGCCTTCTTCAGCTTCCACACTCTGCCGCTGCCATCGTCAAACCCCTCTGGCTGCGCCATAAAAATCTCCTCCTCGAGGATCCTGTTGAGGAACGCCGTGATGATGTCTAGCTGCTTCACTACCCAACCTTTGATCGCGGCTCCCGCGAGTAGGGTTCGCAGCGTCGTCGGCTTCACCATAGGAGCAAACAGCTCCTTGTAGTCCACATTCTCCTTCTGCTGGTACCCCTTGGCCACCAGCATGACTTGTAGCGCTCGATCACGCCGTCGGCATCCGACTTGATCTTGAAGAGCCACTTGGACGTAATCGCCGTACGCCCCTCCGGTAGCTCCACAAACTCGAACGTGTCGTTCTCCTCAATGCTCTTTAGCTCACTCTCCATTGCCTTCTTCCACTCCTCAGCATCATCACTCTCCAAGGCCTCCTTGAGAGTTGCTGGTTCTCCCGGCATCTCCACCGGAGAGAAGAACGCGAAGGCACACTCCTCGTAATCACTCTCCTCGTCGTCTCCGACCATCATTGCCGCTCCAGCCAAGGCCGTCTTGCCTTGCTTCCCCGGGGCATCATAGGTCAGCCTATTAGGGGGTTGAACTCTCCTCTTCCCCCTTCCTTCCTCCTCAGCTGCAGGGACTTGAAGGCCTTGGCGTTGCTGCGGTGTAGTACGGTTCCGTAAAGCGCTCGTAGTGCGGGAAGGGTGTGTCGGTGCACGCTCGCTCACTTGCTGCACCTCCTCCTCCTCCTCTTCCTCTGCATCCTTGGCCTCCTCTCCCCCATTCACAAGGGAAGATTGCCTCGTGGTGGTGCTGCCGCTGCTCAGCTCCAAAGGCAGCTCCACGTGCTCCAACCCGGAACTCTTCACCTCTCCAAACCGCACGCCTATCTTCGCCTCATTCTCCGCCTTCCAATCCTTGTACATGAAGTTCTCCATGAACTTGCAGTCCCTGCTCACCATGAACTTCTTGGTGAATGGGTCCCAAAGAAGCCACCCCTTGCTGTTTTGAGCCATGCCCAAGTGCACGGCCCACACCGCCTTGGCACCAAGCTTGTTGTGCCGAAGATGCTTAGGTACGAGCGCCATGCACATGCACCCGAACACCCGAAGCATATCCACCTTTGGCTTCCTTCCAAGCCACTCCACATAGGGCACCCATTTGTCTGCTCCCACATGAGTCAAAACTCTGTTCTTGGCCACACACGCGCTCCGCACCGCATCAGGCCAGAAATAGTCGGGTAGCCCGGCTTCAATGAGCAACCCGCGTGCCGCCTCCGTGATCGTCCGGTTCGCTCGCTCGGCGATGCCGTTCATTGCAGGGGAGTATGGCATGGTGAGGGAGTGCCGAATACCATTCTTCTTCAGCCACAACCCAAACTCCTTGCTCAAGAACTCTCCCCCTCGATCGGTGCGGATCGACTTCACAAGTCGGTCTTGTTGTCGTTCCACCATTGGCAAAAAATCGGTCTTCAACGTTTCAGCCACGTCGCTCTTCTTGGCCAGCACGTACACCCAGGTCATGCGGGTGTAGACGTCGACGATGGTGAGGAAATATTCAGCTCCAGCAGCTCCAAGCTTCAGGGGGCCCACCACGTCCATCACCACCTCATCAAGTGGTGCCTTTGCCGTTGCCTCCGAACTAGGGAACGGAAATCGGGTGAACTTGGCTTGCAAGCACGTTGGAAAGCCAAGCACCTCATCGGGCTCCCCCTTCACATGTATGACAGCAACCATCTCATTCTTCACTAGCTGCTGCAAGATGGGTAGGGCCACATGCCCCATCCGACGATGCAAGGTGAGCCAATCACACTCCCCCGTAGCCGAAGTCGGATTGGAGAATGCCGCGCTCGCAATAGCGCCCCACATACTCTCTCCGTAG